AGACCACCATCTGCCGTTTCGAGGCCCTGCAGCTCAGCTTCAAGAACATGTGCAAGCTGAAGCCGCTGCTGCAGCGTTGGCTCAACGAGGCAGAGAACACGGACAACATGCAAGAGGTGTGGGGCTGGGGCAGGCTGGAGCCCGGGCACTGCACATCTGTGAGCCCTCAAGCTGCAGCTTTTCCCTTTCTTTAACATGAGCTTTTCTGGAGGGGAGAGGAAAGGAGCAGCAGGTATTTTGTACCATGGCTTCAGCCCAGCTGTGGGAGGAGCCACTGGGTATCACCTGCTGCCAGGCTGGGGAGACCCCAAATCACCCCCCTGAAACCTTGTGGTCCCATCTTGGAGCAGGCAAGTCCTGCTGGAATCAGATATAGGCTGGAGATGCAGCTTGCTACTCCCTGGGAGGATGAAGAAAGATGTGTCCATGTGCACCCCTTCTACACCAGCTGCAGGCAGTGCTGGGACAGTGGGAATGGCCCCAGTCACAGTGGGATGATTCTCAGTGGACAGTTACAGGGACAAGGCCTGTCTCCATCCTGCCCAGACCATAAGTGTGTCCAGAGCCTGGTGGGGACATCACCAGCCCTTGTGACCCAAGTGTGTGGCCTCTCTTTCGTTTTCAGATGTGCAATGCGGAGCAAGTGTTGGCCCAAGCCCGGAAGAGGAAGCGCAGGACCAGCATCGAGACCAACGTGAAGGGGACGCTGGAGAGCTTCTTCCGCAAGTGTGTGAAGCCCAGTCCCCAGGAGATCTCCCAGATTGCTGAGGACCTCAACCTGGATAAAGATGTAGGTGGGAGGGTTTGGAGCGCGGGTGTCCAAGTGGCCGTGGTTCCTGAGCACTTGAATCCAGCCAGTTCAATACTGGAAGCTGTGGGAGAGTGGCCATCCTCAGCCTGACCCAGGAGGAGCTGTGGCAGGGTTGGGACTCTGCTGTAGAGATGCCACTTGCAAGAGGGTGTCCTTGTCACCCTCACTCTGCCTTGTGTACTCTCTTGCAGGTGGTCCGGGTCTGGTTCTGCAACCGGCGTCAGAAAGGCAAACGGCTGCTGCTGCCCTTCGGCAACGAGGCGGAGGGGGGGAT